TATATATATATGTATATATATGTATGTATGTATTCACTAATAATTAAAATTTACTTAATTCATTACAAAATAAATTAATTATTGATAGTTTTTTTATGGTCTCAATAAACTGCAAAATAATGTTACGCCATTTATGATAGAAATATTAACTGCCACAAGTGTTGATATTTTTTATAATTTCAAATTATAATAATGTTCAATAACTTTTATTTGTAGGTTTCTCTTTGTTGACTGATTGTGTCAAGTAAACATGACTTATATTAATTAACACAGTCTAACTCTATTTATTTATTATTTAAAATATTTAATTTTGTTCATAAATGTATTTGTATTTATTTTTAACCAAGCCAGATGTAATGTATCATAAGAAATGGTGTATTGATTCAAGCGCAAAGGGAATTCCGCATTCTATTTTTTCTATATTTATTTTATTACATGCCTAAGCACTACAGAAAGAAAGAAAAAAAAGAAGAAAAAAAGCAAATATAGTAAAACGAGAAAAAGTGGCACAAGAGACCCAAGGCAAAGGGATAAAAAACAAAAAGGTAAAAAAGATTTAGACACGAAGCAGTAGATATGATATTTGGCAATCCTAATTGGTGAGAAACTGACAATACACCAGAGGAGTACAAAACCAACCTAAAGTAATAAACAAATAACAAGCAAGTAAGCATGTTGAAGGAACACTCCAATGAGTAAAGAACGAAACCTTTGGTTTCGAGAGTATCAATTCAAGTATCGGCACTTGACAGTGATAACATCTACTGAGTAGTGTTGTGTGGTGTGTGGCTGGTGGGAGGTGTGTTGTTTCCATTAGTTGTACTTGGTGGGGGCAATTTATTTTAAAAATAATTATTATTATCATGAAAAATCTAATTAAGTGTATACAGTAATCGAAGATCTTAAAATGAAACGAAAAATAAAACACCCTTATTTATGGATCCGACGAAGGTGTTTGTTTGTGTTTATTCGATAGGTCTTTGGTTGTGGTTGTTCGACATTATGAATTAATGGTGATAGAAATGTTTAGTGTTATTGTGGCTAAGTGAAAATTAATAGTGGGGTAATCATTGGCAACATTTATTTGCAAAGGGACATGGAAGAAGAATGATTGAAGCACCTTAGTCCTTACAATCTAAGAGGAAAAATATTACTTAGACTGGTGAAAACCTCGTCCAGTGTAAATTAGACCTTTATTGTTAACTTTGAGTTAGTGTGAAAACCAAGAGCAAAAAAAAAGCCCCTTAAACTTAAATTAAAACATGCGCAACACCGCAATGATTTTTTACTTTTGTATCTAATTACTATGTATGATAACGATGGTATTTTTATAATAATTACTTTAAAAATAATAACTAAAATAAATTTTAATCAAATAACTGTATATTAAAATTATGCTCGGGAAAACAAAACTAACAATTACAATTGTTTTGCCAAGCCCAAATTACAAGGGGCTGTGGACAAAATGATATTAAAACAAAGAGAGCAAATGCACGCTCTCCCCCTACCCAGAGAAAGAAGGGTCAGAGTTTTATATAACATCGAAATTTTACATTCAAAGATCAGGGAGAAAAAAAAACTTGAGATTGCACAAAGTGGACCTAATTTTGCAGACCTAAGTGGGTACAACCATCCCAGAATTGGGTGATAACTGTGACATGAAAAGCCAAAAGAACAAAACTAAAAACATAAACTGTATGAAAAGATAAAATGTCACCTTACATACTCTTCTCTGCAGCACAAAAGACTCCTCAACTACTACACTATCACCACAATATTTTTCCAACTCTTCTGCTTTGTTCTTCAGCACTGAAGCCTTACTCTCTGCATCTACAACTTTGTCAAGAACCTGCGCTTGACTTTCAGAAAGTTTCTCTTGTTCTTCCAATAATGTCTGTTGCAAACTTGCCCCATCCTTCAAGTTCTGCATTACCTTTGAGATGGCTAGGTATTCAACCTCAGCTTCAATCTTTAGCATAAAAAGGGCCTCCAGCTCAGACTCAACCCCTTTACATTTTTTGTCCGACAAACCTGCGGTGCTAGCAGATTCTTCCCTAGAAATCTTACCACTACTCAAGGATGTTTCGAGTTCAGCAATCCTGGAGTCCTTCAGAGCAAGCTCACCCTGTAATTCCTCCAACTTGCTTTCCAAAATATTTATATTTTGTGTCAGGCTCAATACCTGAGGATCCAAGGAACTTGAAGCAGTTTGTTTAATTTCTTCTGCACCAGACTGAACAGATTGGCTTGACTTATTATGTCCAACATGAAAAGTAGTAATACCAGCAGATGCACTGCTACACTTGGCTGAGTCATCATCTGGTGAAATGGCTTCAACCTCAATCTCCCTGAATTTTTGGAGTTCTGCAAGAGAGTACATGTAGATTGGTCATCAGCAATAGCACATGCCATATTTCATTCTTCCATTAAAGATCACTTTTACAGAAAAGAAGGAAACTCATCATAACAATAAAAGTTATGCGACAAAATAATTGTTGTTTCTCATTAAGATGCAAATAAACAACTTCAGCGTCAAAAAACAAACTCTATAATAGATTAAGAGGAGCTTATAATACAGACTGTCATTAATCGTTTCAGTAAACCATAAATTTATAATATTAATAAGTAGAAAATAGCATTTTCTGTTCCAGTAAATAATAATCATGTAGATAGGATAGGGAAGTAGAATAGTAGAAAGTAGCTTAAATGGCCGATAACCTATCTCCCATTAGTGTTTCCAGTAGTTGGCTCAAGACTATTAGGAGCAAGAAAAATTAGCTGATCTAGGATTCATACTAAAGAAAGTAAGAGTAAAAGTAAGTAATTTCAATTGTTAATGAAAAAATCAATAGTAGAAAATTCCAATTTCCAACACAGATGATTTGTTATGCATGCATGTGCAATATTGATGGTTGGTTTTTCTCATCAATGACTGAGATTACTTTACCCTCTAAAGTGGATTGGTCACTTTAGAGGAAACAGATCCTGAATAGATAACCAACAAACAATATCACAGTACCAAGACAAACAAGTTAGATTTGAAATGAACGGAGCATTAATAAATATGTATGGTAGTCCTACTAAAACAAAGAACAAAGCTTTATCAGAAAACACAAGTAAACTGTGAAGCAGAACTGCAAAAGTTAAGTTTTAGACTCTCAAAACAAATTTATGGAAGACAATCTAACTACAATAACATTACAATATGCAGGTAAGCTTGCACAATCAAATTTAATACAAAATATACAACAAATCACTGGACAAGTTCCTACTCACAGATTATATTTTGTAATTTAAATTCTTGCTTTTCTCAATAAAGATGAAATCCAATTGAAGAACCATTCAAAAATCTTCACGAAGAGAGAATAATATATTCAAAAATTTCATTAAAAACGCACCAATTACATTAGCTATGACAGGCTCAAAATCAAGACACTTAACCATAAGACAGCCCACCCACTGGGAAATGGTCAATGCCAGCACATACTGACATTTTAGTCAAGGCAATCCATGAAATTAAAAAATAAATTTAGCCTGGTGAAAATCACTTGATTTAAATACAACTTAACCTCCACAACTTACATGCAAATCCAAAATGCAACAATTACATCCATCTTAATCATTTATAATATTTAACATTTCATATAGAGAAAAAAATTGCTGGAGAAGTTTTCCAACAGGTTCATTTCAATCTATTCATCACCCAGCAGTGTGCTACATATGCAAGAGGACAACAGTTTCTAAACTTATTATGAGGTTATTTGATTAATCAAGAATGCTTACACAGGAGACTAGACCTGTAGACCATCAGGTTTTTAAGGTTCTATAATAAAACAATCAAGAAGTTTAAAAGGGGTTCAAAAGAATAAAAAGTATAAGGAAACAGAATATGATCATTCAATGATTTCGTTCACAACATATTCAGACCCATAGGCTATGCATCAATAAGGTAATATGTAAAAAGTATTATATTAGTGAAATATGTACAATCGGAATGTCCAAAGTTATACCAAAAACTTGCAACTGCTACTAAATGTAAATAGAGAACTTTGTTTTCCATCAAGAAACAAACTCCTTTATGCAATAAGACCCTACAGGTGCTGGGGTGCTCAAGGAACCAAACCAAACTGATTAAACAGAACCAACTCAACAATTTTGTTTGGTTAATTTTAGAAAATAAAAAATCACAAGGTTTAAAAAGTTAGGGATTCAAACCAGAATTCAAACCTGTAGAATCTTCCAAGTTAATTTTGGAAAATAAAAACTTGTTTAAAAAGTTAATTTTGTTTGGTTAATTTTAGGACATATCATGCATTGATATCTTCCAAGTTAGCAGCTTTATTGACAGTTGAATTGAGTCATACAGCAGAATTCAACAGTAAAGAAACTGCTAATAAGGCAGTAAATGTAACATAAATTTTCTCGAGGATTATAAAAACAAGAAACATAATAATCTCAGTAGCAAAATGGCAAGATGCACAAAGAAAGATTCAAAAAAAATTAAACGTCCTAAAAAAGTAGAAAAGACAAACCTTCTTGAAGTGCCTCCTGGACAGCCTGGAGACTACTAATGGATTCAATTAAGGGATCTTCAATGGCTGAAGATTGGTTGTTCACACTTTTTTCTTCCGTAACATCCCAAGACAATTTTGTAGCTAAGTTCTCTGGTAGAAGATCTTCTTCATCTTCAACAAGGTTTTCATTTCCATAACTAGCTTCAACTCCCTCAGTGAAATGTTCATTAGTGTGTGCTTCACCACTATTAATTCCATCATAAACATTTGGCCTGCCACTGTGTTTCCCATTACTAGTAACAGTAAAAACACCTTGCCTGAAGTTGGAGCTTCTTGAATCAGATTCCAAACTAGAAAAAGAATTTTCCTTCTCAATTTTGACTCTTCCACCTTCTCCCGGCTTCTTACTGCTTTCAGTCCGTCCCTTTCCCTGTTGAACTCGTTGAGCCGAGTTTGCTAAATGCTTTGAATTAACGTTCCTGCTACGGCTTTTCTCGAGACTTAAATTGGGCTCACTTGCCGCCGTAGAAGACTTGCTACTTCGATCCTCACTATTCTCAGAATCAGTCCCAACAACAAAACCAGATCCATGTGCATATCTAGAATCCGAACTCGAACCATGGATCACATTGCCATCAGAAAACACTACATTCCCAAACATATTCGAAGATCCGTCACTTCTCTCCTTAACATCACGCAGAAAAGGCTGATTTTCACTCAAATTGGCATTACCAGACAAACCCCTCTTCAACGCTTTACCTGAATCAACACTTGAATTCGGATCCTTAACAACATTCCTCCTAATTCTCTTCCATTTCCTCAACCCAAACCCCTTTGTCGGTGTCCCTTTGGAATTCTCGCCTTCCCCACTACCTACTTCAACTTCAACACCCGTTCCCTTTCGATCCAATCCGTTGACATCCGAATTTCCCTCGAAACCCAAGTCAAATTTATCGTTACCGTAAGAACCACCGTTTCCATTTTCATCATGATTCACTTCGTTCTCTTCCACGTATTCGTTTCCCAAATCCATGATCACTTTCAACCCTTTTCTCTAAATCTGGACATGGAGATCGAAATTCACTTAAAATTAATTGTGATTGAAGCAACAAAACAAATGAGAATTCACGAACTCCAAAACAAAGAATCAAAAAATACTAAAAAATAAATAAATAAAAAAACTGTTATTTTTTTACACAAACCAATAAATAAGCAATCAAAAAAATTGAATGAGAGAGAGAAAAAAAGAACAGGATCTATGATTTAGAGTAATTACCTTCATAAGCGAAGCCCTTGGATTGGACACGGAAACCCTAAAATTTGGGATTTTGATGGATTTGCAGTTTTATAGGCAGAGAAGGGATCAACTATCAAGCCAAGGGAATGGAAATAACATTTAACAATTATTTTTGCATAAATCATTATATTTATTTATTTGTTTTCGTGACGTCCACTGCAATAGGTATATCCTTTCTCATTTACTAATATATTGATATTACTATATTCTTTCCTATAATTCATTTTGTTGATGCATATTTTTTTAACCATATTTTGTTATATAATATCTAAAACAATTTTTAAGAGCCTGATTTTAGTTTTATTCAAATTATGTTATGTTTTTTAATATAAAGTATTTATTGTTGAAAATAGACCTTTGAATGCACATAAAATGCATTTCTCTTTTAATATATTTTATTTCATATTCAAAATTAGAATTTAAAATAATTCATATATATTTATATTAATTAACTATAATATGTTATATTATAGTTGATAATTAATAAATCATTATACACCTTTAGACATGTAGAATGTAATTCGAGAGTTATAAGATGGTTTAGTAATTTGGAAGAGATATAAATTTAGAGTGATAAAAAAGAAAGTGGATTCAAATCTCTCAATTAATATAATATACTAATTATTAAATAAATTATATGACTTTTTAAAATTTGTGTGTTGATGGATTATTTTAAATAAACATATCAACTACATTAGATATATTAATTAAATTGTGTATCAATATATTTAATGAAAGTGAATACAGGGAAAAGGTTAACTTATACGAACTATAAATTCCGTTTTATATTCTTTTGAATATTATTGTAAAATTTTTTTAGTAATGAGAATTTAGAAAAGTTTAATACATAATCATTTTTTGAATAATATTATTTTTGGAAAATATATTATATGTGTAATATTTATTTATTAAATAACTCATAGTTGAGTCGATGAAAAGTTGAAACAGCGACAATGGGAACGTGGGCCACATGGAGACGATGGCCCACTGTCATATCATATCATGGGAGCAGTGTACCTGGATCACAGGATCCTGTGTGGTACATAATTTAAATAAAAAGAAATATATATCACATTAAAAAAATTACACTATTAATTAATTAAAATTTATTTCATATAAATTTTAATTAATTATTATAGGTTCAATAAATTGATTTTGTAAGATCATTTATTATTGGATAATTATATAAAAGTGTCTATTTTATTTATTATAAATATTCTCACTAATAATCCTTATAAAGGTAATAACTTTTATTTTATTTTGTTATAAGGATGTGATGTAAGAGAGGAAGATTTTGTATATGATGAAAAAGTAAAATGGAATCCTTAGCGGTTGAAGAAGACGTGTCGAATTATGTTTATTACAGCAACGTGGAATTATTATTCGATATCAAAGATTTTATAAAAATAAATAAATGATAAATTTATATGAATTAAATGTATACGGATGTGATTACATTTATAAGTTTAAAGTATTAATTATAAAAATAATTTTAAAAATATTTAAAGAGTTTATTTTATGTATTATTAATATAAAATTATATTGTCAACCAAATAAAAATATATTAAATAAATATATTTAAAACATTAGAAAATATGTTACTAACACATATCGTTATTGATTGATTGATTTAATAAAGATGATTAGAATAGAAACGTTATTTTTTAAAGCAATATAGTGGATTTATAATGTATATTGTTTTTATATGCACACAATTACAAATTAAAATATTTTTTTTATAATATTGTGTGAAGGATTTATTTTTAATTGAGTTTTAACTCTAATATATATAAATTGAGTGTTTATTAAAAAAGTAATTTTCATCTAATCCAATTTTATAAAATTAATTTGTAAGATGAGAGTTATCTCTCACTCATATATGAATTTGAATTCAAACTTGAACTAGATTTTTCTTGGAATCCTTGTTACTAGAACATGTAACTTAGATCAACTCCAAACTTCAAATAACATGACCTTTCAAAAAAAATTGAAATCGATCAAACTCAAAATAATGTTTCTAACACTTGGAAAAAAGTGTATTTTCAATAAGTAATCCAGAAAATAGTTATATATACTAATAATGAATTGTGATTCCTTTATCTTCAATAAGTGGTCCAAACAAAAAATAAAGCCTTTAAAACAAATTGGTAGACATTAAATACTAATAAACACTCGGAAAGAAAAAGAGAAAAAGTATAAATATGAAAAGCAACATAATCTGGTGTAATAAGAAAAAAATTAAAAAAAATTGATATTTTATTTTCTCAAGAATTTACACTAAGTTCCATGCAATGTAATTGTGTAGAAGGGAAGAGGAATGATTGTGAAATTGTATAGTACACATATACTGTAACTTTACAAATAAATGTTTAAATTTCGCTTAAGATTCTACCTACAATAGGTGCAAAACTCTTATGCCATTCTATATCATGCTTTTTGTCCAATTTCAATCCATTATCAATGAGTATGGCATTGATTCTTGCCGCCTTGAAGCATGTTGAGCAGATGGATTGTATTCCAGAGACTCTTCGGTATTCTTCAACACCTTGCAAAGATAACTCGATTCCATAGAGCTCAGCAATATCTCTTAAATTTCTCTGACATTACATAATAGGCTTTCTTAATAAAATTCCAGAAGAAAATATTGAAACTTGCATGTTCATCAATCTAAAAGTGTCAAAAATCCAATTAATATAAATAGTTAAATACCTCAACCTTATAATTGTTGCATTTAAAAAAAAAAAGCACCTTGTCACAGGAATAGGGATCGGAACATTTTTGTATAAAAAATATTTTTTTGGTGTACTTTAGCTAAGAAACGACTTCGTTATTACCTATTGAATTCCATTCCTAGGATCATCATTTACATAGAGTCGGGTGTTCGTCACTATAACTAATTAATGAGCTTTAATCATATTTCTCTTGATGATTTAAGTATATATTTACACATAACTTTTTTTTAAAGTGAATATGCAAAATTTCCTTCGAGAAATAATTTCAGTCTCTAAGACTATTTTTGTCACTATTATAATATTAATCTCATAATATTCATCTCAGTCATGACTTTGATAGGATCACACCTAAATTAGAGTGAAAATATTTGTACTTAAACATATTCATTTAAAATATTAAAATCATATGAACAAAATAAAGTGAGATATAAGAGGATACATAATAAAAATAATAATAACATAAATTAATTTTTCTAACATTCTCTTATTTTCTCGTAACAGTTTTGGAGGTGTTTTCTTCTTCCAAAGATGAAACTCATTTTGTATTTTTTCCCTTATTACATGAGTGGTGAGTGCATGCATTTCTATCTTGCTCTAGAATTTAGAAGTGAACCCTATATCAATTCTATACTTTGGATTGGAGTAACCAGATGCCTGAAAGTATAAATTAATTAACAAGGATCATCAATAACCATGTCCAATGTAAGAAAGAGAAACTAGAAAAGTATAAACTGTAACAGCCCGCGCAACCCGCATGAGGATATTGTCCGCTTTGGCCCACGGCCTCACGGCTTTGTTCTCGGGAATGGCCAACACCACCCCAAAACGCGTCCTCAAGAGTAAGGTATCCACACCCATATATATGGCATGCTTCGTTCACCTTACTAGCCGATGTGGGACTTCACATAAACAATTAAATTTTTATATTTTACTTTATAGGCAAAAAAATGTTTATAGGAATAGAAAGGATATTTCAATCACCTCTTTATAAAATTTCAAAAAATATAAAAAGATTAAAAAAAATTAAATGATAAAATATTTATTTAAATCTCATAATTTTTCATTACTATTTAATCATATAATCGATCATGTTCATCATATTGTTGTTCTCTATTCCCATCTCTACATTTTCAATATGATTACACAAATTAGTTTCTCCAAAATAGTTTATGAACACTGATGTTCATTTTCTGCCATAACGAAACAAAGTTTAGTAAATAATAATTCAACCTTATATAAGCAACATCTAAAGTATATTATCTATTTCTATCATAAATAAATTTTATAAAAGAGGATTATGACTTAGAATCAAATTTTCTCTTTAAGATTGTTAGAACTATGTAAATAATAAATAAAAGATATATTATTTATTTATGAAATTACATCAAGATAAATATCAATAAATAATAAATTAAAATAATAAAAAAATAAAATAAGATAAATAGTGCAAAAAAATTTAGGTTAAAACACGTTATATGTTATCCTTATAAAAAAATGGCTTATTATATAGATTAATTTGTAATGTACGGTACAACAACCTGTAATATATTTAACAATAAAAAATATTTCTCTTAAAAAGAGAGATATCTAATAACCAATAGATAAATTTATAACCACAAAATGACCAAAATCCACCTAACATATAAGTAATCAAATAACAAATTTGTAAAGTACATTGTTTCTAATGTGAAAAAAAAAAAGATTAAGTAAAAGATTAACAACATAATTACTTAATCTTATTAAAATGTTAATTAAAATAATTAAAAATATCATGATGTAATAAGAAAATAATTAAAAAAAATTTGATATTTTATTTTCTCAAGAATTTACACTAAGTTCCATGCAATGTAATTGTGTAGAAGGGAAGAGGAATGATTGTGAAATTGTATAGTAGATAATTAAATTTTTGTATTTGGTGTAGAAGTAAAGAAAGGAAAGGAGAAGAAGAAATGTTTAAGTCTCACATATTTTTTATTATCCTCTAAAAAGGGTAGATTTGAAGGTAAGTATTGTCCAAAACTTATGAAATAGGCATATTTGTAATTTAATCCATTGCATCATTTTAACTTTTTTTATTTAAATCAATATATATATATATAATATATATATATATATAAATTGATTTTCTCTTCAATTCTCTTTTATTTATCTCCTACTAAAGAACCTTAATTTCTACTTTATTTTTCACATGCTTCTTTTCTTTGCTCACCTATTTCCTTCATTTTCTTTCACTTTCACCTTCACTGACAAAGACAACATCAAGAAAGGGGATGAGGGAATAAGAAATTTGAGACAGTTTATTAAGGAATATCTTCTTAATTTTTCATTAGATACAATAACATAAGTATTGTTTGTGTTGTTCTTCAACCAA